CCCCGGGCCGGGACATTTTCTCAGGCTTTCAAAAAGAGCACTTTCTTTCCTGCCTAATATTTAGCTCCTTCAAATGCAAATGGAGAGGTTTCGCTCCAAGGTTAGCATAACAATTATGGGAAAGCTTTAAATCTGATGCGTTTGTTTACACGATGAAAGGCCGGCGGGATCCGAAAGCTCGGAGGCCCCGGCTTTTCAGCGACTCTTTTCTAACGAGTGCACCGCGAGTCAATTTTAGATTACAAAGAAAACCAATTTATAGGACGGTGGAGGCTAATTTTGGAGGGAGTTCGATGTTATTATCAATGTGCGTGTGTGCTTTTTTTTTTTTTAATGACCGGTGCTGAAATAGTGTTTTTTCCCTCTCCCTTTTCTTAGTTAAGTTTGGTGTGAGGTCATCGGGGTTAGTGATAGGCAGGAGGGTCTTCATTCCCGGGGACGACGGGAACGGGGCCTGGGGCTCACGCAGGTAGAGAATTTTCCAGAGACTTGGCGCGGTTTTGGCCTCACGTGCATAAAGAAATCTCTTGTGGTTTGCTCGTTAAAGAAGTTGATTTTCTTGTCGATTCGGCTTAGATTGTTTGGTATTTCAAAAAGGGTTGTGTGGTTTTAACTATCACTGATGGTTATCAGACTAAGATTTCAGGGGAATGAGGTTCCCTCACTATAAAACCATTAATTTCCAGACCTTGACAGTGAGAACTGGGCCTGGCCCACTGGAAGTGTCTCAAATCTGCTGGGGGTGGGGCAGGGGGGCAGCGGGGGCGGGTAACACCTTCAAGGCTGATAAGCAGGAAAGAAATCTTAAGCTTTTTTATTTTTTTAAACTCTTAGACCTTCCAGGAGACTTTTTCCAGACCTTCCTCCTGGGGCCACCCTCTCTCTGGCACACAAAGGACACAGCCTGTTAGGGTTCTCCTCAGCGTGAGGCCCAGGAGAGAATGAAAACCCTTGGGAGCTTATTAAATGTGTTGGCTTCATTGGCAGTATATTGTCAACTGCTTTGTGAAACACTGCCATCTACAATCCCCGTAACACTGCAAGTTTGAGTGAGAAGTACTTAGGAATTACTCTATTTGGGGAGTATTTACTGACCAACGTAAATGTCCTTTTCTGGGTTAAGGTTAAACAACAAAACCATTTTTTTTTCTTGCAGTATTTGAACAGGTGAGCTGAAATACCTGTCTTGACAGTAGGACCAGGGCAAGCATGGATTGTGCTGTTATCGGACAGGTACAGAGCAATGGTTTTCAACTAAAGCGTGTAGCAGAGTCACCTGAGGTTCTTGGTAATCTAGATGGCTGAGCCTCATCCCCAAATATCTGAGCAGGTCTGGGGTGGAGCCTAGGAAATTCCATTTTGTACAAGCTGCCAGGTGAAGCTGAGGCCCTCTTCCCAGGGCCACACCCAGAGAACCACTAGCCTGGAAGAATCATAGAATTGTATTATCTTGAGAGACCCTAATAGGGTTTTAAAAAATTCCTTTTTGCAAGAATAGCTTAGAGAAAAACAATCACTACTGATTGCTACTAGGAATTAAGTAAGATTGAGGAACGATTCTTAAATGTAAGTATTTCTCTAATCTAGGTTTTTAAAGATTATTGGCTTGGTCTAGGTAGGATCTCAAAGTAAGTGAAGTCTTCTTAAGTAGTGGCTGAATGTTAGAACACTCTTTGGTCCTGCTAGCCAGATGAATGGGTTCTCAGGAGATGGTGGAATATTAATGAAATATATTTGCTTTCTGATATTCAGGTACACTGAGCTCCACTGTAGGGAATTTGCCCCTTGGTCACCTTAGTAACCATGCCCCTTTTGTGATGTGGTCTCTTCTGGAGTGTTTTTTTCCCCTGAAACCCTTGAATACAGGCTCCTTCTCTTCATTAAGACCTCTCTTGAAGCCCAAGTCCTGAAATTAGCCTTCAAGACAGAGAGGTTGAGATTTGCATTTCCTGTTTTATTTTAAATTGCATATCCTGTGAGGGAGAGACATTTTAATTCTGACTTTTCATCGTGCCTGGTACAGAGCCATACAGAAATAGACACAAAAACATGATTTTAGTGATGATGATGATGATGATGTTTCATTAAGTGGCTTTACATTAATTTAGGGTCTGTTTACATGCTCTGAAATATATAGATGAAAATATATCTTCTGCATAGGGTCACTTGACCATGGACACATGTCATGCTAGATGAGGGACAAGTAGTAAATTTAAATTGCAGGAGAAGTTTTTCTCAAGTCGCATTTTTATGTGCACTAAGGAAATAATATAGCTCAAGAAATCATATGTGAATCATTTTGTAAGATGAACGAACTCCTAAATCTGATATTTTGTTCAACAGGCATCATAACAGTCTGGAGAACACTGTTCAAGCTGACACCGTAGCTTCAAGTAACTAGTTTGGTGATGCTGGGTTTTGAGGATGGAGGACAATGCTGTTGAAATACACTTTGCTGAGTAAGTCATTTTGCCCTTCTCCCTTCTACAAGCATGGGGTATGGACGACCGTTGTGGTTCTTTCTGGATTACAGGTATAGCATCTGCTTTGGTTTACTTAAACCGCATAATACGTAGACATCCAAGAGGGTCAGCGTTGGTTTAAACGGGCAACTCTATTATGAGAATATGGTCAACACCTTTTAAAATTACTGCAATCCATACATATGTTACAGTCTCCTTGGGTTTGTGGAAAATGCACTGTTGATTGTTTTTCATTGTAAAGGAGTCAGTTTCTTTGGGAAATAGCAAAGTGCTGTTTCTACCTGAACAGTCAAGGCATTGAGGAGACATTTAATTTAGAAATGGAGCAGCATTTCTTTACCCTTGCCGTTATCCTATGTCACAGCTGACTGCTTTAGTGCCAATAAAATGCTCTGGGCGCTGGTTTTTACTGGGCAAAAGCACTGAGTGACAAAGCCATTCCTGTTAAATATTAACATCATTTACTAAGAATGTAATTAGGAATAAAATAAGCTGGCATATAAAATTTGTATCTTAATCATCCTCTATTCTTGTTCAGGTGTTGAAAAGTCGTTTTCTTGATCCTAAATATGGAGTTAGGGTTCTAAGGGCATTAAGCTACTGTCACAGAGAGGCAGCAGAGATTGTCACAGGTATTTAAGGAACCTGACTATTTTGGAGGTCAGGTGAGGAGGGTGACGAGACGTGTGTATGTTTGTGTGTGTTTGTGGCTCTGCATTGTGAGGTGGGGGAATGGAAGTGGAAATGCTAGAATAAATAAGGCCCTTGGGTATTTATACTAGTTCTGAAATAAAACTGTGGTTTGAATCCAGTAGGTCAGTTATATATAAATACAGTGTAGAGGGCAGATATCCAGAAATAACAGATTTTATTCTCCAGAGGGAAAGGGAGAATTTACCAGAGCAGAGGCCCCTGGAACAGGGAGAGTCCATTAGATAAGAACGGTAAGGCTCAAATGCGTTTATCACATTGCCTGTCCATTTTATTTACCAGTTCTCCTGCTGGTGGACACTGGGGCTGCTTCCATTTATTTTTGCTCTTGTAAATAATGCTGCTCTGTTCATTATTGTGCTTGTGTGCTGATACAGAGGTGCCAGATTACCTCTAAGGCATATTCCTTTTGTGATGCGTTATTAACTTCTATTCTGTCTATAATTTTTATTAACAAAATAGTAACCGTTAAACTGATTTCATGTATTTGCACAGTAGAATTGTTAATTCAAGGGTTTGTAGCTCTTCAGCTCTGCAAGCTAATGACAACATTGCTTTCCAAATACTATGTACTCCTACCACAGTGTGTGTCTCTCTTGCTCTGTATTCCGTCTAATACATTGCATTGTCAGAATTTTACCTCCTTTTGTTTTTAATTCCCTCTCCTTGAGTATTTTAATGAGGTTGACCATTTTCCATATATTAATATTGTCCATGCATGTTTTGTCTTCTTTTCCATATAATTTACCACCCTTTTAAAAAAAATTAAGTATTAGAAATATTCTTACATTAATCTTATGATGATTATGTGCCTTGCAAATAATCATTCTTACTTTGTGGCTGGCATTTTCATCCTCTATTAGGTATCTTTTGATAAACAGAGTTCTTGTCAATTATTTTCTTATGACTTATCAGTCATTTTCTTTGTTTTCCCTTTTTGTGTCCTGTTTAAGAATACTTCTTTTTATCAAAAAGACATTATCACATTCTTTTGCTACAAGTGCTAAGCCCTCAATCAGTCTGAAATTGTTTTTTTTTAAAGGTATGAGGAAGAGGTCCGAGTCCATTTTTTTTTTTCCTAGCAGGGGCAACTGGTTATCCCAGCATGATTAACTAACTAGTCTCTGCTTTCCTATTGGTGTGTGGTATCACCTCTGTCATACATTCAGTGTTTACATTTACCTGGGTCTGTTTCATTGGCTCTCATTTGTGTTCTGTTAGCTGATTTGAGTATTAAAGCTCTAAGATTGGGCATCTTAGAATTATACCACCTTAATTAAAAATGGCTTTTTAGTCTTCATGTCTGGCAGAGGATGAATTCTTGACTCTTCAGGAATGTCTTGACCATTCTTGGTCTCTTGCTCTTTCACATACACCTTAGAATTAATGCTAATTTCCACATTAAGTCTTGTCTGAATTTGGGTGAAAATTGCCCTGATTCTTGCTCAGTTTGCTGAATAGTACAATATCAAATTTTCTAATCTGTGAATATAATAAATCTCTCCATTTGCTTGCATCTTCCTTAATGTCTTTAAACAATAGTTGATAATTTTCCCTAAAAGTCTTGCAGGACTTTTGTTCTAGATAGTTAATGTTGGGTGACATGGTATATTTGGATATATCTGAAATTAATTAAAGGTTCTACTTGTCATTATTGTATGTACATGAGATTGACCTTTATGTAACGACTACATCTAGCAACTTTGCTGACCTGTTTTACTAAATTTGATACTTTATAGATTCGTCTTGTTTTATATACCATCTTATCAAATGAGAAAAACAATAGTTTTATTTTTCCTTTCCTTATGCCTTTAACTTTTCCTTCCTTTTTTCTTCTCTTCTGCTTTTCTCCTTCCATCCCTCCATGCATCTCTCCCTTTATTCCTCCCTGCCTTCTTTCCTCTCCTCCCTCCCTTCCTGGGCCTCCCTTTCCCCAGCTCCACCATAATTATTGTATTAGTTAGGACCTTCAGGCTGGTGTTATATGGAAGTGCAGGAAAACATGCCTTATCCTTGATTTAAAAAAAAATTTTAATGTTTCACCATTAAAAATGATGTTAATTGTTCTGTGTGTGTGTGTGTGTGTA